CTAAACTCGTCCTAGAGTAGAAATACTAATGAGGCCTCAGTCCAGAAGGAAAAAGGACTGATGGGGAGCTGACTATAAGAGCTATGTATCCCGGACAGAAGCATGAGGGGCAGAAACAGACAGTCTGACACGAGTTCATTATATATTTGACTGACACCTACTTATAAAAAAAATCATTCCAAAAGTCTCAAACTTTTTTTTCCTCATGCTTATATTTTTCGTTATATTTCATACTTCCTACTTTTGTTTTTTTCAGCATGGTGTCCTTCATAAAAATAGGAAATAGAACAGAACTACCTTCTAAATACATTTTTCTGTTGGTACGAACGTGATGTTTTAGCAATTTATGCTTCATTTCCTCAGTGGATTTTTTTGGTTACATAAACTGTCTTTAATGCATCAAATTTGGTCTCTGAGTACGATTTACGGATTAATTTCCACCCGTCGTTGCTCCCCTGAGTCTCTTGAGTTCCTATTAATCTTAAATATAAAAAAAGAATCAACAGTTAACACGTGTTGTTTTAATTATTGGGATTTCTGTCTGAGTTAAAGCCTGTTTGAGATGGAAATAACTTCTCTAAGCTCCATTCCCTGAGCAGGGAGCAGGTGATGGGAGTCCTGTTAGTTTATCTTCTACAAATTCTGTTTGTTTTCCATTATTTTTCCTGTTATGAAATGTCAGTGTAATCAAAACATAATTTGCTGTAACATGATTTTGATTTGTTGGACATACATACAGGTGATACACAGGTGTGTGTTAGCCTCTGCTGCCTAGTGGATTTATGATAAAATTAAAAGCATAATAAAAGGTTAAATAATGTTCTTTTAAACGTCAGCAAATTAGATCTTACTTGACAGAATTTTATTTTAATGAGAAATAATCAATCCCATCTTTAGTAGCGATATCCAAACAATAACACACACATTCAATGATCTATTATAGATATAATATTTAACATAAATTAAATGCATGTTAAGGAAGCTTTCATGTATATTTTCTTATAATTTTCCAGTTTTTGTGTCTCTATACATTTTCATGAAGCTATTTCTGTTTATTCAA